TTCTTTTTCAAGATTGTTGTGGCTATTTGAGGTCTTTTTTTGTTCCATATGAACTTTTGAAGTATTTGTTCTAGTTCTGTGAAGTATTTCTATGGTATTTTGAAGGGGATTACATTGAATCTATGGATTGCTTTGGGTAATATGGACATTTTAATGATGTTAATTCTTCCAATCCATGAACATGGTATACGCTTCCACTTTTTTATATCTTCTTCTATTTCTTTTTTCAATGACCTGTAATTTTCTGCGATTAGGTCTTTTATTTCTTTGGGTAAGTTTATTCTGAGGCATCTTAATTTTTTTGCTTCAATGGTAAATGAGATTTTTTTTTAGTTTCTCTTTCTGTGAGTTTATTATTGGTGTATAAGAATGCCATCCGTTTCTTAACATTAATTTTTTATCCTGCTACTTTGCCAAGTTCATTTATTAAGTGTTGTAAATTTTGATGGAGTCCTTGGGGTTTTCTACGTATAGTATCATGTCATTTGTGAATAATGACAGTTTGAATTCCTCCTTTCCCATTTGGATACGTTTTATGTTTTCTTCCTGTCTGATAAATGTGGCTAAGAGTTCCAGTACTATGGTAAATAAGAGTGACAAAAGTGGGCATCCTTGTCTTCTTCCTGTTCTCAAGGGAAATGCCTTTAATTTTTGCCTATTGAGTATGATATTGGCTGCAGGTCTTTCTTATATCGAGATATGATCCCTCTGTTCCCAGATTTTGGAGCATTTTGATCAGAAATGGGTGCTGGATTTTGTCGAATTCTTTTTCAGTGACTATTGACATAATCATATGATGTTTATCTTTCATATTGTTTATGTGGTGTATCACATTTATTGTTTTGCAAATAATGTATTATTCTTGCATCCCTTTGATGAATCCCACTTTGGCATGGTGAAGAATTTTTTTTATGTATTGCTGGATTCGATTTGCTAGTATTTTGTGCAAGATTTTGTCATCTATGTTCATCAGAGGTATTGTTCTGTAGTTTTCTTTCTTTGTAGTGTCTTTTTCTACTTTTGGAATTAGAATTATGGTGTCCTCATAAAACCAGTTTAGATGTCTTCCTTCTTCTTGAATTTTATGAAATACTTTGAAGAAAATGGGTGTTAATTCTTCTTTGATATTTGGTAAAATTACTCTGTGAAGCCGACTGGTCCTGGGCTTTTGTTTGCTGGGAGAGTCTTGATTACATCTTAAATTTCCTTTGTTTTTATTGGTCTGTTCAAGTTTTCTATCTCTTCCTGGTTCAGTTTTCGGGGACTATGTGTTTCTAAAAATTTGTCCACTTTGCTTAGGTTGTCAAATTTGTTGCCGTATAATTGTTCATAATACATGTTAATGATCTGTTGTATTTCTGTGGTGTCAGTTATTATTTCTACTCTTTCATTTCTGATTTTGTGTATTTACGTTCTCTCTCTTTGTTTCTTGGTGGTCTAGCTAAGGGTCCATCAATCTTGTTTATCTTTCCAAAGAACCAGCTCTTTCTTTTATTGATCTTTTGAATTTTATTTTTTTTTTTGGTCTCCATGTCATTTATTTCTATTCTGATCTTTACCATTTTCTTCCTTCTACTTGCTCTTCGTTTTTCTTTTTGTTTGTTCTCTATCTCTTTATGTTGTGAGGTTAGATAGTCTATTAGAGATTTTTCTTGTTTTTTGAGGTAGGCCTGTAGTGTGATGTACTTCCCTCTCAGAACTGCTTTCACTGCATCCCATAGATTTAGTGTTGTTGTGTCTTCATTTTCAATGGTTTCCATGAAGTTTTTGATTTCTTCGTTGATCTCCTGGTGACCCATTCATTGTTAAATAACATGCCATTTAGCTTCCATGTGTTCAAATGTCTTTGGATGTTCTTCTTGCAATTGATTTCTAGTTTCATGCCATTGTGATCTGAGAAGATGCTTGATATGATTTCATCTTCTTAAATTTGTAGAGACTTAGTTTGAGCCCTAACATGTGGTCAATCTTTGAGAATGTACCATGTCCACTTGAGAAGAATGTGAATTCTGTAGTTTTGAGGTGTAATTCTCTGTAGATATCTATTAAATCCATTACGTCTAGTGCTTCATTAGAGTCTCTCTTTCCTTGCTAATTCTTTGTGTAGAGGATCTATCCAGAGATGTCAGCAGTGGGTTGAAGTCCCCTGCTATGATTGTATTGCTTTTGATTTCTATTTTGAAGTCCTCCAGATTTTTAATATATTTTGGTGCTCCTCTATTGGGTGCATATATGTTTATGAAGGTTATATCTTCCTGTTGGATAGATGCTTGCAATATTATGTAGTGGCCTATTTGTCTCTAGTTATGGCCTTCATTTTGAAATCTATTTTATCAGATATGAATATTGCTACTCCAGCTTTTTTTTCTTTTCCGTTTGCTTGGAAGATTTTTTTTTCATCACTTCATTTTCAGCCTATGTGAGTCTTTTGTTGTGAGGTGGGTCTCTTGTAAACAACATATAGATGAGTCATGCTTTCTTATCCAATCAGCTACTCTGTGCCTTTTTATGGGAGTATTCAATTCATTTACATTTAAGGTGATTATTGATATGTACTTATTTATTACCATTTTTGTTTAGTGTGGTTCTATTTTTCTTCCCATTTCTCCTACTAATTACAACAGTCCTTTTAACATTTCTTGCAGTGCTGGTTTGGTGCTAATGTATTCCCTTAGCCTTTTTTTTTTTTTTTTGGTCTGGGAAGCTCTTTATTTGACCTTCTATTTTGAATGATAGCCTTGCTGGATAGAGTAGTCTTGGATTTACATCCTTGTTTTTCATGACCTGATTACTTCATGCCATTCCCTTCTGGCCTGTAGTGTTTGTTGTGAGAAGTCAGCTGAGAGCCTTATGGGGTTTCCTTTGTAGGTAACCTGCTGCTTCTCTCTTGCTGCTTTTAGGATTCTCTCTTTGTCTTGAATTTTTGGCACTTTGATTACTATGTGTCTTGGTGTGGGCCTGTTTGGGTTCTTCATACTTGGGGCTCTCTGTGCTTCTTGAACTTGAATGCCTTCTTCTTTCACCAAATTAGGGCAATTTTCTGTCACTGTTTCTGCAAATATATTCTTTAACACTTGCTCATTTTCTTCTTTTTCGAGGACTCCTATTATGCGAATATTATTACGTTTCCAATTGTCCCACAGTTCTCTTAAGCTGTCTTCCTGTTTTTTAATTGTGTTTTCCTTTTGGTTTTCTGAAGGTAGATTTTTTTCTATCCTGTCTTCTAATTCACAGATCCGGTCCTCAGCTTCCTCTACTCTGCCTTTTAGACCTTCCAATGTGTTTTTCATTTCTGATATGTTATTCTTCATTACTTTTTGGTGGTTTTTAATTTCCAACTGGTTGATTTTTATCATTTCTATGTCGTTCCTCATGGTGCTTATGTCCTTACACATGCTGTTGAGTTTCTCAAGATCATGGCTCTGAATTCTAGTTCTGTTAACTTGCTTAACTGCACCTCATTTATTTCATCTTCAGTAGAGGTCTCTTGTTCTTTCATTTGGCTTTTGTTTCTGTTTTTCACCATTTTGGCTATCACAGTGGGCTTTGGTGTCTACCAAATTTTCACTGTGGGTGTTGGTGTTCTGCTGTTTGTGTCTCCCTCTCCTGGGTTTGGATGAGGCAGGGAGGACCCACTTTAAATACTGTCAAGTCTTAACTTTCCTGGTTAGAGTTGCCCGCCCAGGGAATGGTAGTTATCCTCTAGCTTTTTTTGCCTTGAGGCTATTAGTAGGGGTCAACTGAAGAACCTTGGTTTCTGATTTGACTGAAAATCTCCCTCAGATGCTCAGTGTAAGAGGATTTCCTGGGGGTGGGCAGATGCTGGTTGTTAATGGGCCTCAATTAGCATTTCAATGGCCACCAGGTGGTGTTGAATCTCTGAGGGAGGGGCTACCACCTCTCCCCAGGGCCCTGGGAAGGAGTAAGATGACCACAGTCCTGCCTGGCTGCATTCAGCAAAAGCTCTGAGCACCCTCCAAATCCTGAGTGTCCCCACACAGTTCCAGTCCCGTCTGCCTTCCCTCTGCCAGAGCCCAAGTTGAGTGGCTGCTGCCAATTTATCCTCTGACCGGACTCTACATCGTAAAGCCGCCTGGGACTTTTAACCCGAGGGCGCTGCTCCCAGCTAAGGGTTGCCGTGGCTGCGCCACCAGCACTGCGTAACACCCAGCCAAGTTTGCAGGACCTAGTCAAGGGCAAAGCACCCAGCCACGGTGGCTGCAGGACACAGCTGAGGCAGCTGAGGGTCCCAGCCGAGGCCACAGGACCCAGCCAAGGGCGTAGCACCCAGCTGAGGCCACAGGACCCATCCGCAATCGCCGGTCCCAGCCGAGGTGGCAGCAGCTTCCAGCTAAGGCAGCTGGACCCAGCAGAGGGCGTAGCACCCAAACGAGGTCACAGGTCCCAGCCGAGGCAGCCGCTGGTCTCAGCCAAGGCCATAGAACCCAGCCAAGGATGCAGCTTTCAGCTGAGTCCCCTGGTCCCAGCTGAATCCGCTGGTCCCAGCCCAGGCCGCTGCGGACCGTGGGCTCTCGGCCCCCTCTTGCGTCCTCGCAAGCCTACCAGGATTGAGTCAGTGTCCCTGGTTATGTGGTCTTCCAAGCTGCCTTTCGGTTGCCCCTTTATGATGATTTGTCTTTATTTTCGTTGTAATTCCAATTTGGTCTTGGGAGATGGTCTGTGTAGCTTCCATTCACTACACCGCCATTTTTTTCTGTAAAGTCATTTTTCATGTTTTCCTCATAGACTTATTCAAATATCTTTGCTCAGGAGAGGTCCAGATTCATTCATGAATTCCTGGGCCTCTTCCAATTGAAAAAAGAGGAGAGGTAAGGGAAGTATGGAAAGAAGTAGCTTTCTCTTACTATCTCATAGCTGAGGCCAAGGGGAACTGAACATCCAGTGCTTCTTTTTTAAAACTGGTTTCAGATCCCATCTGTTTCTTCTCTCTCTCTCTTCGGCTTTATGACTTTATTTGACAATCAGCAGTTAGTTTTCACCTATATTAATTGTTTATTTTTAAAAGTGGTGACTGGTATATAGCAAACCAACATATAGAGCTTGTTTGGTGAATCTCCATCCTCATTATGTTTTCTTGACAACTGCACCCAGTTACAGTGTGAGAAATTCCTTATTTCTTTGGTCCAGACAATTTTGTTGAGCCTGGAATCAGTGCATACATTTGGAGTTCCCATCTCCTTCATGGCAAATTTACAGATCTCTTTGAGTATTCGAAGGTCATGTTACTTAAATCACATTCCATGGATGCATTTGTGAATGTTGGTAGTATAGTCTCTGGTCACTACCTCATTGATGGCAAAACAGACCTTCTTCTCGCCACCCTTCTTTGCAGAAGCCATTATGCTGGGCCCAAGTTGGCCCATTTGTTTTTATATTTATAATTCACGAGAGTAGCACTTGCAGGTTAAATAATTAATACATGCTTCTTTCTGGGGCCTGGATGGAGACTGATCTTAGTAGATCCTCCTTTTCTGTGGGTAGTGGTACTTCATGGTAGGTTATAAGTTTCCCAGACAGGGCATACATAGAATTTCCAAGTGAAACTGGCCAAAAGCTGAAGGGAACAACAGATGCAGTTCTAAGTGTTCAACCATTTCAAATCTGATTCTTCCTGAATAGATTTCTTAGAACCCTATCCTTACAGTATGAGATTTCCAACATAGTCTCAAGCCAACATATACAGTTTGGGGGCTGATGCACAGACCCTTTCTTCAGATGAAATGGCAATATTCTACTTAAACAAGGGCATTACATATTCCCTCTGTGCAACCAGGAATTCAACATTATGATTATTGCAAACATAGTTAGGCCTGCCTTAAAGTTTTCTCAACATTTCATAGTTGCCTGAAAAATGTTTTGGAAAGAATTAAAATGATAGCACAGGGGTAGAGGTACCTGATAGGTTAGTTCCTGCCAATTCTTACTGTAGGTAGATAATTCAAGCTGGGTACTAAAGCACTTATTCCCAGTCATTGTGTGTCCTCATTACAGAAACGAGGAAATCTAAATAGTAATTATTCCAGGATTTCTTGCAGTTAGGACTGCCATATAACATAATTCTAGTCGATGATTTAGTTATAAACTTCAATCTGCTGGAGGCTTCTGGGGAAATTTTTGCTTTCCTGAAAGTAATCAATCTCTTTTACAATTTAAACTTCCTTGAACATGGACATGATGACTGGAGTCATGGTGGCCATCTTGTGACTATGAGGCAAATAAGCATGAGGGGGAAAGCCAACACAATAAGGAAGATGAATACAAAGTTAGAGCCTTGGGCTCTAAGGGCATTGTTGAGCTTCTGAACCAAAGACAACAACTTCCTGACTTTAGACATTTCAGATTTCCTGCTACTTAAATACAATTCATTCCTAACCATTTATCCTTACATGGTTCCTTGTGCCCTCATAATAAGGTCCACACTTCTTAATATGATAAAGAAAGCCCCACATGATCTAGCTTCTGCCTATGTCCCACACCTTGTTTCTCCCACATTTGCCCTTGCATGATAGGATCTGGTAATGCAGAGCTACTTCTGTTGTACTAATGTTACCAAGCTGTTTCATGACTCCTAGATTCATCTTTGCTGACAGGATACAGGCAAGAACTGTCTTCCTCATCTGTGGATCCCTAAAATGTAGCACAGCAATATATAATAAAGAACTGCACCAAAATGTTATTATCTGATTCTCTTTTGATAACAAAACAATTACTTAATGACACTTGTACGTTTTATGCATCGTTTATTTAATATTTTAGCATCTCTTCATATATGCAAAGGAATGTGTCTGGCTGATGTACTGACATCAAAAGTTTTCTATTGCATAATGTTAATTTAACAAAATCACTCTCAGAACAATGTATCTAGGATGGTCTGTCAATGTAAAAAAAAAAAAGAACAATAAAATTATATTTATTTGTGTGGGAATATCTATCTGTCTATCATCTATCTATCTATAATATAGATATAATATAGATATAGATATATATTTAGATATAAATATAGATATAGATAAACATATACATATACATAGTTCAAACAGAGAATGAGCCTTGAAAATATAGATACCAAAATGTTAACAGTGGTACATCTCAGGAAGGACAAGGCCAGGGGGATTATATCACTTACTCTAAAAAATCTTTATGGTTTGAATTATCTACAGCATGAATCCATTGAAATGTAACTTGTGAAGTTAGATTCATAAAATTTAACAGTCTGAGGAATGGGGTAGTCCCAGAGATGTGGAAGTGGGGTACAGACTGACAGTCCCCAGAAGAGGGGGTGGTGGGGGAGAGATAAACCACAGAACTTATATTCATGTATGCATGAACAATGGACATGGACAACAAAGCTGGGGACAGGGCAAAGATGGTGGGGAGGGGGGAATCAGTGGGGGAAAAAGGAGAAACATCTGTAACAAAAATAAATAAATTAAAAAAGAAAAAGCAATGCTCAATGTGAAAATGATGAAATTAATGGAGATTCTCCTTTGGGATCTTGCCAACTTTGACATTGAATAATGTTAAGGTGAAAAGTCTATAATTAAAAAAAAAAAAAAAAAGCCAAAAGAATTATTTTCCTTCCTGTAGACTGACCACTTATAATATTCTATTCTTTCAATGTACTTCCAAGAAACATTTGAGACCAGTATATTTTTCATATAAGTGGTGTGGTAGGTTGGAAAAAAGTCCTCCAAAGATACATTTACTACCTAACCCCTAGGATCTGTGAATGTTACCTCTTATGGCAAAAGATATGATTAGGTTTAGGGCCTTGAGAGGAGGAACTTATCCTGGATAATACAGGTAGGCCCTAAATGCAATGATAAGCATTTATAAAATATACGAAGAGAGAGTTTTCTCTCTCTCTCTCTCTCTCTCTCTCTCTCTCTCTCTCACACACACACACACACACAGAACAAAAGCAAGGGAGAAGAGAGGACAGTTTAGGAGAGGGGTGGAGAGTGAAGGAGGCAGAGATTGAAGAGATGCACCACAAATTGAGGAATTCCCACAGCCACCAGAAGCTGGAGAAAAAAGCTGATTATCCTCTAGAGCCTCTGGAAGAAGCACAGTTTCTTGATTCAGTCTTGTGGCCTCCAGAATGTGAGAGAATAAATTTTTGTTGTTTTAAACCAAAATAAAAATAAAAGACTGGAAGAGCCCTGGCTAGTTTGGCTCACTGGTTGGAGCATTGGCCTGCAGACCAGAGAATCTCGGGTTTGGTTTCCGCTAGGGGCACATACCAAAAAAAAACAACAAACAAACAAACAAACAAACAAAAAAAAGGCTGAAAGAGGCATAGAAAAAAATGTGGGAGATGGAATCTCATAAATTTAGACTCAATAACTGTGTGACCTTGAGTAATACTCTACTCTCTGAGTCTCAATTTTTCATCTGTGAAATAGTCATTCATTTTAACAAAAATTTGCTGAGCACCTACTTAAGTATCAGACACTGTGGATCCAATGATGAATGTATAAACTTCTGTCTTCATGAAGCTGAAATTTAGTGGGGCAGGTAGACAGTAATCACATAGTCAGACAAATCAGCATAAAATTACATGTGTGAAAGTGCAAGAAAGGGAAAAATCCATGGGGTTAGGACAGCCTGTAACAGGAGAATTTAACATAATCAAGATCAAAGAAGTCTGGGCTCTAAAAGGGATGTTGACTATGTGAGAATTTGGCTTGAAATAGGTGAAGAAGGACATTCCAGAAAGGAAAATATCACATAAAAAGGCCTTATTGTGACAAACAAGACATGACTTATTTAAGATTCTAATATAAATCGAGTATGGCTGGTGTGTGTGTGTGTAGGCAATACTAGTGTAAAGTGAGGCTGGAGAAGGTCATTGATGTCCGACCACATATAAGTCATGAGTTTGTTCTTCATCCTAACCATAAGAGCTATGTGATACCAACATAAGCTTTAAGCAAGTTGCCAGCATTATCAGATTTGAGTTTTGCAAAGGTCATCTGGCTATTGTGAGAACAAATTGTATGGGGGCCAGAGAAGAAGCAAGGAGACCAGTTGAATGCCATTGCATTGGTCCAGGTAAGAGATGACTTGAGCTTTGATCACATGGTAATAAAGAAGATGGGGAAAACTCACTGACTCAAGAGAAGCATTTAAATCTAGTGATGGATTAGATACGGTGACAAGGGTATGAGAAGGGTGAAAGAGTAAGAGTCAGGGATGACTCCCATGTATCTGTCTAGTGAGATCACTGGAAAATGATTTGGTTTTGAGGGGTAATCATGCATTGGTTTCTGGACCTGCTGATTTACAGGTGACTTAGAGGCTTCTTTCACCTTTCTTATCTCCTTCACCTCTTTTATTGAAATATCACATCATCAAATACTACCTAAAGATTCAACACTCTGCCAACATTTTATATCATTTTCTCTGCTTTATTTTTTACCTTACCTCTTCTTATTTTTTTATTTTCCATATATATTTTTTTTTTTGCTTATTGTCTTTTCCTCACCAGAATGGACACTCCATGAAAAAGGGAGTTTTGTCTTTTTTATTTATGGTCATAATCCTCAGCATCTTGAACTGTGCTTGGTATATGGTAAGTGCTCAATAAATATTTTCCAAATGAATTTAAGTTAGAAGTCAAGTAGGCAATTGGAAATACTGGTCTGGAATGTGTAAAGATGTTTGTCATCCACCTTAGGAGAGGTGCTAAAGGTAGCTGTGGGTTTGGATGAGATCACCTAGAGAGAAGGAATGAAGTGAGAAAAGGGAGCAAATTAGTACCTGCCTCAGAGGATTACTGTGAGGATTAAATGAAATAATAAAAGTCAAGGACTTAGCTGATGCCTGGCACCTGGTTGGTGATCAAGGAAGGTTAGCTCTTAAGAGTGTTGCTTACATACCCATGGGACTTGAAGAACAGCAGACTAAGTGCATGGCAAGGTTGGCTTCTAACACCCCTCCCAGTGAGCTCCCTACTTTTGTTAGGTGCAAATCAAACAAGCATGGTTTTGCTAACTTGCTCTGCTGTATGGCTGCATTCAGTTACCTAAATTTCATGAGTCTCAGATTTCTCACCTGTAAATCAGTGCTGATGGCAACACTTTCCTCACAGAACCAGGTGAATGTTTTTATCACTTTGTAATCCTCAGCACCTTGCCCAGGGTTATTGGCACACAGTAAGGGCTATACTAGTTATTCATTGGTAGAAAGTGCTTGGTGTCAGAAAATACTTACACGTCTTTTGATTTTGCCCAAGACATATATCTCTGAGGAACATCATACCTAAGTCACAGGATTGTTTTGAGCATCAAATGAGATTGTGCGTTTTTTAAAAGAATCATGGTAGCTCACAGGGATA